CAATTTCAGAAGCATAGTGACATTTATGAAGTTAGTGGATGGGACTTGTGTGTGTAATGGCAGCACTTTCTTAACCAGTAGCTCCAGGCTGGGAAAGTAATTTCCAGGAAAAAAAAATAACTAGAAATTTACTGCTTCCAGACTGGCAGCAAAAATCATTTATTGTGGGAAATCTAAGCTTGAAATAAACCCCAGTAATTTCCATCAACTCTCTCTCTACCACACACACACAGATACATGGAAAGAACTTTCTGAATTAATTTCCTGGAATATTAAGGCATCCTGATACCAAAAGTAACTCTCCTCGCCCAGAGAGACTATTGTAGAACGTCCCACAGAAATGAATGCAGCTCTTAGCAGTTTCTGTTTTTCAAAACAGCTGGTGTGACCAAACTGAATCCAGATTTGAACAGGAGGAGGGCATTGGCAAGATCCTTTCAGTAACAAGGCCTTAAATCTTAGTTTATTCTTTGTACGCAAGAGCTCCCATATGCAAACCTTATGGGTACACAACGTGGTTTTTATGCTTTCCCAGCCTTCTCTTAGGTATAGTAAAGGTTGATTAAATCCATTCTGAGCTATGTTGTTATATCAGACACACCACAGTTGCATCTGTCTTCAGTGTTTATAGAAATGAGTCAGGAAAGCAACATTTTAAATACTTACCTATGATAGAAAAGACATGCTAAAAATTGCTTATGTATAAAGCTGTAAAAATGTTTCACATATAAAAATAAAATGTATGGGTAAATAAAATACATAAATTAAACATTAAGGCAATGTCTAATAAAGCATATTTCTGAAGACCTGCATTTTGGTTCCATTGTCTGTATTTAATACAAAATCATCTTTTTCTTCAGTGGGTGTGAGAGGTGAGCTGGATGCCTGAGTCTGATTGCAATCTGCCAGTAATAGAGCTATTTTTATGTGGTTAGCACAGGTTTCTTTTTTGATGAAGTTTTTGCAGACTGATTGACACCAAATAACAGAAATATATAAGCAGAAAAACATGCAGTAAGTACAGGGAATTGGAACATTGTGTTGTCAGTGGCTAGAGAGCAAGAACTTCCCTAAGAAAATATTTAGAAAAACGTGTTTGTAGCTATAAAAACTGTAAGTGGAAAGGACCACGCATGGGCTTTGTGCTGTGCAGAGAGTGCCACCCTCTGCTCCTGCAGAGTATGGAGCCTTTCTCTCCTACCTGACTCTTCTTTCACTAGTGCAATTCTCATGCAGTGAGTTACAAAACTAGCCAGCTGGATAGGAACTCTACAAATGGCCAGTATTCCCTGGTAATTTTGTTAGGTCAGCCCTTTAATTGCATTATATAGCATCTTTTTTTTCTTTTTTTCTTTTTTTTCTTTTTTTTTTTTTTTTTTTTTTTTTTCCTCAGAGGAGAGATGAATAAATTTCCCTTCCCCTTTTAGGAACAAAGCCCTGAAAAAGACAATTTCTATTAAGGTGTGACAGAGGTCACTTGGAGAGAAGGCAGCACAGCAGCTCCTGTATGCAATCTAGTTGCAGGGTGAGAGAATGGTGCAGCTGGTTGTGGTTAAAGAATTTGTTGTGGTACCTTCTGATCTTTCTTCCTGAAGAATTAAAGACTGCTCTGCAACAAGAACTCTAACAGGCTTCGGGGTAAGCCATGGACTCTTTCACTGCTGGAGACAGACTGCACGTTATACAAGTTGTCTCCTGCAAATTTACAGGAATTCCTTCCCTTAAAGGCCTCATTTGTGATAGTGTTTGACATTTTTTTCTGGCTTTTTAAACCATGACACTCCTCTGTTGTGCTAAAAATTACATTACTGATGACAGACATCTTTCAGTATGAAGGATTCTCTTTCAGCCAGCCTGGTTAAGCCCGTTGCAGCCTTGTGCTATACTTGGGCAATAGTCTCTAAGCAAGTGGCTATTCCTGTAGCTGGGGCTTTGGTGCTATGTGGCAGAGTAGCAAGAAAAAAAGAGAAACTTTGGAGCTTTACCCAAGCATTACATTGTTCTAGAGAGATGGGATCAAAATCAAGAAGCAAACATAGACAAATATTCCAGCTGAAGAGAAAAGCTACTTCAGTGACTCAACAATTGAGTTCTGTTAGTTATTGTTTTCTGGTTTTGAGTTCTCTGCGAGAGGCAAAACTCCAAGCTTCTACATTCTTATAAGAAAATCAAAACCAGATTAAAAGAAGATCAAGCATTCAAGTCTTCCTCACCATATTGTTTTTGACATCTTCTGCGTAAGAGTACCCAGTGAAGGTCACTACTAAAGATTTGGAACACTCACTCACACATGCAATTTTCAGGGTTTCCTCTCATATCTCAGCAGAGCCTCGCTCTCTTTCACTCAGCTCCCCTTCACACATGCCACATATGGTTTATGAGCTCAGTACCAAACACGCACGCAGCCAAGAAGGTCAAACTTCAGTTGTGGGATTGCCCCTTTCGTACCAGCATCTGGCCCAGGCAGCAGAACAGCAGGAGGCTGTCCTGTGAATCCAGATCCACTTATCCGGATACCTCTGACCATCACGCTGGGAGCCTCTCTTACATCCATGCATTTGCACTTGAGAACAGTCCTCTTCCTGACTTAGTTTGTAAAGTAATGGTCTCTTCCAAATAATGCCTAGAGGGCTGTGTAATGTGTGCAGGAAAACAGCCAGTTGCTGGCAATATCCAGGAGCTCGGTTAACAGGTTTGCAGTTCAAACAACATGCTGGTGTTTTGGTTTATCGACCCTCTTGACTTGTGGAACAGCCTCCCGTCTTCCTAGAGAAACAGCTCAGAGGATTCATGTTCATAATACGGATAATGTGGAATGGTTTATAACAGAGGAATATCCGGCAAAGTGAACACTGTTTACCTGACAATTATATCAAGGGTGGCAATATGATGTTTTCATTATGAAATTATGTGCTCCGAGGCACCAGCTCCCAATACCCAAAATGACTTGTGCGATGCCCGGCTCCAGAAAGACGCTGGAAACTCTAAGGACTGATTTATGAGGAAAGGGCCATCGGGAATGCTGAAAATGTGACATTTACAGGACACGTCCCGGGACTCTCCTGACTCAGATCCTGTAAAAGGCAACGCTAATGCAGGAACATGAATGATGCACTAAAATAGTGACCATAAACAGATACACGAGGCTGCGAGGGGCGCACCACTTTCACAAAGAAATTTTAATTTTTAATTTAAGCACAACTTAATTTTAATTTGTGCACATCGCTGCCAGCCCCAGGGTCCCGACGGAGGAGCCGGTCAAACCCCCGGCCCTCAGAGAGGCCGGCACAGCCCGGGGCGGGCTCTGAGGCGGCCCGGCCCGACAGCCGCTCCCCCTCCGTGCCTCCCTCCCCTCCGTGCGCTGCCGGAAGGGTCCGTGTGGAAAAGCCGCCGCTTCTCCACGGGCCCGGCGGCCCCGCCGCCGCCTCGGAGCGCCCGGGGCTCGGCCGCGACTGTGCCCGGCGGGGGCCGCGGCCGGCGGCGGGGAGCGGCAGAACCGTGGGGCCCGCGGGGGCCCGCGCTCGGCAGGGGGCGGCGGGGGCGGCTCGGGGCGGGGGCCGCTTCAGGCCGCGGGACGCTCAGGGCTGCCCGGTTTACCGGGTAACCGCCCGGCCCGGCTCGGCTTGGTTCGGCCCGGCCTGGCCCGGCTCCGCTCGGCTCCGTGGGCTGCGGCCCCGGGCCTCCCGCTGCTTCTGCTGGTGCCCAGGGAGGTGCCCGGCCCAGAGACCCCGCGGCCGTGTCTGCCGGTGCCTCCCGGTCTGTGACCGGGGCCCGTTGTCGTCGTGGCCGTTCGTGTTTTAAGCAAAATCGGTGACTTTCCGTATGGGTTTATTGCTGAGTTCCCGTGGCGTGCCTACGTTTATGTGTGTGTGTCTGCTTGTGCGCAGCACAGGGATACAAAAGGACTTGAAGGCCAGAATACTCTTCCGTTTAATGTTGGGAATGGGTTGTACAGGAGAAAGCCATTCTTCATCACCTGGATCATTTAAATGCGTTTTATGACAAGGACAACAAACCACCTCGTGTTGGCTGGATTTTGACAAGGTGTAAGGAGCCAAAATCTTGCTTGCCTTTTGTCTGTGATTCCTCATGGTAACCTGTCACGTAGCATCTATTTGCTGTACAGTGGCAGTTCTAGGAGTTTTATTGAAAGCTTTATTATACTGAAAATCTTTAAAAATTAGTAAGAAATCACAGTGAATATATTATTTTTTTTGTTTGGTGGAGGTTTCCCGTTTGGAAAGGTATTTCAGGTTTCTGGCTCCTTCACAGCTCACCTTTATAAGGGTCACGTACCTAACTGTGTTTTTCTGTGTGTCCTGAGCTGTTTGCTGCTTCAGTAACATTTTGGAGGTGATGGTGGTGTTGCAGGGTGACCAGGGCAATGTGGCACAGTAGCAGTTACACAAGTGCTCCCTGGAGATATGGAAGGAATGTTGTTCAAAATGTTTGTGTTCATGTAAAAATGCAATCAAAATATTCCTGATGGAAATCTTTTTCTTGGCTGGTCACAGGAGAAGGCAGTGTTTAGCTGCAGTCAAGGCTATGTTCTGACTGCCAGCTTGTGCTGTAATGAGTAGTTCAGAGTCTGTACAGTGATTCATACTTGTTATTCTGCAGACAAGTAAACAGTAATGATGTAATTTAATTTTTAAAAAGTTAAATTTTAATTCCATACTTCATTTTAACAAAATATATTGAAACTTATTCCTTTAAATTAAATATGTGGTATATTTGCATATATATACTGTAATTTACAGAGGAGAATACTACTGTGTTACTGGCTTTGTTCTTAAAGCAGAGGCCAAAGAGATCTTTCCATTGAAAGAGACAATGATTCTAAATCAGCTGTCTTGCTAAATATCTGTTGCATCCTTCTGCAGTGTATCAGTGCTACTAAAATAGTGAGCATAAACAGATCACTTTTTTCCTCTAGATCTGGATACTTGGTTGTATTTCATTTTCTCTGTTGTTACCTCATGTCCTAGTTCTGTCTGTGGGCACCACTTTGTTTTTAACTCCTTTTCAGAGCTCTAGTAAATGTTTGTAAATTCACTACATTTTGTTTCTAGAGGATGCAGCTCCTTGGTGATTACAACTTTGGCTGCGAGCTGTTTCCATGATGTGGAGTTAGCAGCTGCCTGCTGCACACCAGCAGCTCTACAGCTCTGAACAGTGCTCTTGTGTGACACCTTGATGCTGTTCTTGCTGATGGAGAGAAACAGGACTTGGTAGTTCACTTGGTGGCAAATCGTTGAGAAGAAGAGCTTTCCAGGGATCTGGATCATTTTTACCATGGACTCCTCATCTGTCCAGCAGGATGTTCACTTGGAGAGCAGAAGCAGTAATGGGGCTCCCAGCAGCTCTGAAGAACTTTTGGATTGTAAAGCCAAGTCACAGCTAGTTACTACAGATGAAATTAACAGTAAGTTATTTAATATGCACCAAATAACTTCCTAGTCTTACCCAGGTTTTTATCTAATCATCTGTGTTATTGTTCAAGTGAAGTTTTTCCTTGGGGTCAGGAATTTTTTGTGCAGCGGTTTTAAGCAAGTTTGGTGAAGTCTGTAGCTCTGTGTGCATGTAAAACTGGGTTTTTTTTTGCTGTAGAACTTGTTCTTTTGAAAGCAAAACAAAACTATTAATTTAAATACTATCAGCTGTCAGGTGAGTATTAATTGCTGAGGGTGTCAGTCTGTCTTTAGATAACGTTTCCAAGAGTGTACAACTGAGACTCTCTAGAACAATCAGTTCTGAAATGACTGTTCCAGAGTAAGCTTGTTACTGGAGTACTTTATTCTGGCAGAAAAAATCTTCCTAATTAATTAAATTACTTAGGCAAAACCCAAAATGTTTGGCTTTGCTTCCCTTTAAGAAAGAGAGATGCTGGCATGTACTCTCCAATTTATCTCAAAGTAACTTTTATACATAGACAAGCTCTATAATAAAATAATCATGCAGCTGTTTATGGGAAACTATTTAGAGTCTACTATCTGAGTAGATTACAGAATCAAACTTGCGTTGGAAGGGAGCTGTGCAGGTTATCTAGTCCAACCTGCTGCACTGAGCACACCTGGTTCTGGAGCAAGATCAGGTTGCTCTGGCCCTCGTCCTATTGAATTCTGAAAGTGTCTGTAGTGGGAAGTGCATCAGCCTCCCTGCCCATTCCAGTATTTAACTGCTTTCATTGTGAAAGTATTTTCCTGCACTGAAATGAAATCTCCATGATTTCCTGGCAGGAGTCTGAGGATATGTTGGTGTATAAGGATGTGGGGGTGGCTGGGTGGAGAGATGTTTACATTGTGGCTGCATAGATACACAAAACCACAGTGGTTCCTTGTGTAAAAGGAGGTGACGTGAGGTTGGGACCTTCTGGTGCCACAGGTTTGTCACCTTGTCACAGGCAGCAGAGAGGAGCCCTGACACTTTATTTGCTTTTTTTTTATTCTGCCTGTTATCAGAGTGGCAGAGTGTGATGATTCATTCATCTTTTCTGAAGTTGGAGATCACGTGTTCCTGTCATCTGTGTTGGACAATCAAATTGTGACTTACAAATAGATAGTGTGTCTTTCTACTGTTTTTATCCTAATTGCATCTCCTTGCCCATTGTTCTAAAAAAGACTGCAGCTGTATTGGCACTACTGCCTTTAAATTACTTTAGTTCAAGGAGTGTTTAGATTGTGTCTCCTGGCCTCAGGAAGTTGCCAGGAAACCATTCCTCCAGAATTTTGCTCCAGCATCCCTTTGGTATATGCATACCACTCACTGCTGGGAAGAAAAAATGTGAAGAGTGTAAACCTGATGCAGTTTCTGAGATGGGCAGAAACAATATTTCTGAATGGATGAGCTGTCTTCTTATTTTTGGCTTCTTGTGGCTATTCATAGCATTGACACCTATTTCAAATGCATTTTTGCCAATAATTCTAGTTTTAAAATGCTAGTCCTTAAAAAGCAGTCTTTCCCTCTGTTCTTTACATCCTTGTTGAACTCACCCCTTCTATCATGTCTGCAACTGTTTTTGTGAGAACATGATGATCTAAATCAGAAGTGATTAAGGCTAAATAGCCTGAAATGTTGTCTGTATGACAAATAAGATACTCAAAAGTATTCTATTCAAATCTTAGAGCTGATGGGTTTTGGCAGCCTAAGTCTGAAAGCTTTATTACCCAAATTCAGTTTCCTCATTCAGTTTCCTCCGTGCTGGTTCACACTGAGCTGGCTTGAGGGAAGATGCATTGCAGAGGTGGAAACTTGATTTTTGCACTTACAAATACTTTGTGATCATAAATGTTAAATATTTTCCACCGTCTTTAGGAAAAAGAAAAATAAATCTTGCATATTATTCCAGTGAGTTGCAGTTACTTCAGTGGTAACATGGTGTGGGAATGAACAGAAAGGCAGTGGCTGTTTCAGTGCTCTGCTCATTTGAGATATATAATAATTAATTTAAAGTTAGATACATGGGTTTTTTGCAACAACAGGTTCATAAACAGGTTAGTAGTCCCCAGCCAAGTGAAATAGAAATGAGAAATCCAGACTCTAAACCTGTGAAGTGTTTGTCTGGTTTTGAATATGCATTTGTCCTGCTGGAAAAGAAAAATACTAGTAAGTGGGATAAAATTGGTGTTGAAGTGGTTCTTGAATTGCATTTTAATAGGTAGGTTTATTATTTTGATACATACGAGCTTTGCTACTGTGCTTTTGATGAATATATCCTATTTGAAAAAATGTAAGCTCGGTTTAAAATTGAGAAACTGCTTGGGCCAGGCTGGAAATCAGGATGCTGGATGCTTTCTCCCCAGTGCCCAGCTGCACTTCAAAAAGCTGAATCATTCAGCACAGGCCTGCAGCTGCTGAGGCTTCCTTGTAGTAGACTGCCCCTCAGAGTTCCTTACACTCAGTGTTTCCTGCTTCTAAACCTAACAAGATTTAAAAACCTCTGTGAAGTTTTGAAGAGATGTTTTTTGATGACTTTTGAGGTCCTGCTTGAGGGCAACATAGTAAAGCAAATGAAAAGTACTTGTTCTGGTCTTGTAAAGCAAAGAATCAAAAATCCTCTATGTAATGTCTCGTGCCAGTTGCTGTCAGCAGCAGTTTCTATATTCATACAATGTAAGGGCAGTAGTGCTGGCATTGTATTTGGATGGAGCTGTGAAGATGAATTAAGTGGCTTGAAGTTGTAGCTCAGTAAAATTTTCTTTTGCAGCTACCAGTAATAACATCAATGAAGTGCCAAATGAAGAGGGAAGTCTGGAGATAAACAGCAAAGTGGATGCCTGCCAGAATGGGCCAGAATCACTCTGCCTTGACTCTCCTGGATCTGTTGATCCTACCAGCAGTGAGCAGGGTGAAGAGTCATCCCCAGGTGTGACTGGTTTCCATGACAGCCTAAGGAAGTCTCAGGGAACTAGTGCTGAGGGCATAGCTCTTAGAAAAGAAGCTTTGCAGTCTCTCAAACTAAGTCTTCCCATGCAAGAAACTGAATTGTGTAAGCATCTGTTTATGGTGGTGCCCCTGCTTTCTCTTGCTGCATAAAGCTTTTTACTCTGAGCCTGGCTCTGGACTTCTGTAACATCATTTAAGCTTGAACTAAACTTCATTTTTGCAGTAAAATTTTACTTAGAACTGCACTTTATTTTCTTTCAGTAAACTACCCTCTGCTACAGCTAAGGCACGTGCCTTACCATTTAAAACTGGCTCTTCACTGGAGGGGAATTCACACTTTCTGGGGCTGAAGCTATTCTAATCTTCTTGATTATTAGGAGTAACAGGTGACATTAAAAAAAAAGGGCAGCAGAATCAGGTGATTTAAAGCTAAGAAAAAAAGAAAAGGAGAGAAGAGCAATGAAGGGGGGGAGAAGGGAAAACCTTTGTATTAAGGTGTCTAAAAGCCTTACTGCAGGAAAGGTTTAATGTGAGTTAAGGTTTTATGTGAGTTAATAAAAGGTAAGAAAATATATCTAGGGAACAATTTTCCACTACTTGTAGGGAATAGTGGACTGTGTAGGTCTTGCTTAGTTTTATCATTTTAGTCCTGTCAGAAATGCAGGACAGGTGAGATTAAATGACAGCAATATTTTTTTTTCTTGCTGTATAATCTCTTGTCATGGATCTCTGTAGGAACTATTAACATTTGCAAACTGAGCAGTGGAAGTCCACAGGCTTTATCAGTGCTTACACAAGGATATATTTGAAGACGGTCATTTGAGGTGCATGTCAGTGGGCTTTCCTTTTGTTCCTTGCTTAAGCATGAAGCATGTTGCTGGTGGTAGAAGGGGCTTTTACCCTTTACATCCCTTTTACCTGTGTAGGAGTTTTCTGTTTGACTGTGAAGATGCCTTTCCCTTACAGGCTCAGTAGAGTCTTCATTGCCACTGGAAAATGAAGAACAAATCAGACTTCAGGCAAGAAGGCGTCTGGAAGAACAGCTCAAGCAATACCGAGTGAAGAGACACCAAGAAAGAGTGAGTACTTCTAGATTGTGTTTTGTTGAGAAGCTTGAAAACTTTACCATTTCTGTTCCCTGAATTAAAACATTCAGTAGTTTTCTCAAATGAGAGAAAGCATTTTTGTCTTCTGGACTGGCAAAATTTGGTTCTGTTACCTCATCAGTAGTGTACTATTTTGTGCTATGTAAAATAGGGGAGGAAAAAACAGACACCAAACATAAAGTAACCTAAATGTTAAATTCTGCCTATATTTTTCAGTTACCTTTTGGAGTCTCATATGAACATTCTCAACATCTATGTACTGAAGCTTGATAGGGTTGGGTGCTGATATTATTTACCTTGTTTAGGAAAGAGCATATGTTTAATATCAGTGTAAAAGTGTAGAGCTATATATCTTAAGTTACAGCAAAATTAGTCTTTGATGTTATTTCAGAGTTAACATTCTGGAATTTATTGTTTTAGTCAAGTCAGTCTACATCCAAAACCCGTCCCTCCAGCACCCTGGATCCTGAGCTGATGTTAAATCCAGAAATTCTACCAAGAGCCAGCACTGTAGCAATGACAAAAGAATACTCCTTTTTGCGGACCAGCGTCCCCAGGGGGCCAAAGCTGGGTAGCCTGGGACTTCCAGCATCCTCAAAAGAAAGAAGAAGCTCAAAATCTAAGGCCAGCAAGATCCGGTCCTTGGCTGACTACAGAACTGAAGATTCAGATGCTCGAAATGCTACTGGGAATTCTGTGCCTACTGACTTACCTGGGGGGGCTCTGATGCAAAGCAGAAGTGGCCCAACATCAGTTGTGTCTGAGATCAGTCTGCCCTCTGATGTGGATGATCGAGTAGAGAATTCCTCCTTGGCAGGAGACAGCATTTCAGAGATTGATGGAAGTGAAGTGGGAATGAGGCTGGATGGAAATGAGAGTGACAGCTCTACCTACAGCAGTGTGTCAGGGAAAGGGCTGTATAGCAGTTTGCAGAATGCAGAAGGCAAACAGGACACTCCATATACAATAAATGGCCAGAAGATAGATCCTGAAGCAATGGGGCAATTTCCTTCCATCAGTGAGGTGCTGCAGGCTGCGGCAGTGGAGCATCAGGCCCAAGAGCAAGAAGTTAATGGAGAGGTACGGAGCAGGAGAGACAGTATTTCTAGCAGGTAAGAATATCTATTGTTAGTTAATGATATTTTCTTGGAATAGGCAGCCTGTTACTTTTCTCTCCTACTAACTTTAGATCCAGTTAGCTTACCCTGTTACTGAGTCTGTTAGTAGCTTACAAATTCTAAAAGATCTGAGAGGTTGCTTCACTTGAGTACCTATTTACTAAGTATAACTTTAGAGAATTATATTTTTGCCACTGGCTGTGTTAAATGTACTGCAAGCAGTTGTTTCTGCCTGTATGGAAGGACTTCATTCACTGAATTACTCATGAGCCTTTGTCTATAAAGTCTGGAAGTATGGACTTGACTGTCTCAATGATATATAGTATTGTCTTTTTCCTAATCTATGCGTGTACCTTTCAGACCTTACATAGCTGAGAAATGCCAAGAGTCTTGTCCTAGATATCTTATCCTCTTCAGCCCTTTGAGAATGAGATTTAGTTTCCCAAGCTTCTGTGTATGTGACAGGTATTAAACTGATTCAGAAAGCAAGTGCATAATTGGTGAAGCCCTTAACAATGTATGCTTTTTATCAGTTGTCTGCAGATGCATATTTTATATGTCCTACTTTTTAAATTACTTCCCCCTGCTTTATTGGAATAAAGTGTCATGCCCAAATATGTTGAGGTGTACAGTCAGTTGTTGATGATTATTCTGGCTTAGATTTATTTCTTATGGTAATGAGAAAAGATCTTTTTCTCCAGATGCCTTGGCTGTACAGTAAGGAATCAGCATAAGGGATCCCTTGTGCCAGATACCTGTTATTCCTTCTTTTGCAGCAGCTGATGGCATTTCTCAGGCGCATTAAAGCAGACAGTTATGAGAGTAATTGTGAAGGTTTTGTGATCCCATCATGTCCAGTTGTTTGCTTAAAATGGGATGTGTATATACAGAATATGATGGAGTCAATGATTGCAGTTCTGAAAAATAACAAATATATGGTGCTACACTAAATTCTAGTTGCTGCCAGTACAGGAAACAAAAGTATAAAACCTTAGCATGAGTATAATTTCTTTCTCTTTTTAACAGAGGTTGTTACACTGTGTTCTGGATCTGTCATAAACCAGAAAAAATGTCCTACAGTCTAAGCCACAGGGATTCTGAGTAGCTCTTAATTTCAGAGTCACTCTTGTTCAATTAGACAAGTGCTGTGTTCTAACCCTGTAACTGTGCTTGTGCTGTCTCTGTCTCCAGTGTTTCTATGGAAAGCTCTATCGCAGGAACTCATGATGAGATGCTGCAGGTTATGAAGGAGAAGATGAGACTTGAAGGGCAACTAGAAGCACTCTCACTAGAAGCTAATCAGGTAGAAAATTAATCTGGAATTTTGTATTCAGCAAATCAAAATAAGATTTTAATTAATTTTCAAGAACCTCTTGCTCATTAATTGTGGAATTGTGTTTTGTAAAAAACATTGTTGAATGAGGTGCTTTACAAGAATGCCATGGTGGGCTGACCCTGGCTGGATGCCAGGTGTCCACCAAAGCTGCTCAGTCCCTCTCCTCCTCAGCTGGCCTGGGAAGAGAAGAAATAACAATGAAAGGCTCATGGGTTGAAATAAGGACAGAGATGGGGAATCTCAGCTCCAGAGCATGGGGCACCTCCTTTGTTCTTTGCCTTATCAAAGCCACTTTGCTGGGCATTTTTTTCAGTCACCCACTAATATATTTTCTCATGAGACTCCTGCATTTTGATTTTCTGGACACATTCAGGCTCTCAAAGAGAAGACTGAGCTACAAGCCCAACTTGCAGCTTTGAACATGAAGCTTCAGGCACAGATGGAGCACAGCCAAAACAGCCAGCAGAAGCAGGAATCCCTAAGCTCAGAAGTGGCTACATTAAAGCAGTCTTGCTGGGATCTGGAACGAGCAATGGCTGACCTGCAAAATGCCTTGGAAGCAAAGAATGCCAGTTTGGCTTCTTCAAACAATGATTTGCAGTTAGCAGAGGAGCAGTACCAGAGACTCCTGCAGAAGGTTGAAGATATGCAAAAAAATGTTCTCACCAGAGACAGTACAGGTGGGATGATGAAAATGTCAGTCTTTAAAATTTTTTGTTCTATAAATCATTTCATTTCAACTTGATTCTGAAGTCCAAGAAGAAGAAGAAATTTAAGCTTGTGTTTATTCGATATCCTACTAATAAAATGGTCTCAATTTTAAGATGTTTGGTTTTGATTTTGTGTCACAGAAGTGTCACAGTTTGCAAGCTGCCACTGCCAGTCTGGAGAGGGAGGCATAAATATTTAGTCCAGACAGTGGCCTAGTTGTTTTTTTGGAAAATTGTACAAATGCTGATTTGTAATGATGACTCTACATGCCAGGACACCTACTTCCTGATGTTTAGTTAGTTCATATTTTCTGCCTCTAAGGAGCTGTGAATGCTTACAGAAGTGATTCACTTAGTTTAATTTTATTCTGCTTATGACCTGGTACTTTGGATTCTAGCACTTTGGCAGGAAAAGCCAATCTTTCTATAATTAGGCATATGTGCTTTTGTTCAACAATTAAGGAAAAATAGATAAAATTACAAATACAGCAATAATCCTGAAAAAAGTGTGCATAAAAATAGCACAGTGGGATATGTTAGTCCAAGTTCTTTATTCTTGTTTTTCTAGTTCATGACCTGAGACAGCAGTTGGCTTCCTTGCAGACCCAGCTTCAGAAGGTGCAGCTGGAACGGACCACACTGACCAACAAGCTGAAGGCATCTGAAACAGAAATCACATCTCTCCAAAATGTGAGGCAGTGGTACCAGCAGCAGCTGGTCCTGGCACAGGAGGCCCGTGTCAGGCTGCAGAGTGAGATGGCCAATATACAGGTATTGTGATTTATTGCATATGGGAGAACTGAGAACCTCTTCTTTGTCAGTTTTATCCACAGGACCACCTAGTGGCCTTCTGCAATGGCCTGACTGCACCAGTGCCGTGAAAGTAGTAGCTGAAATAAGGCACACACAGTTTCAACATGTTTTTTCCTGAAACTCTTACATTCTGTTGGTATTATTTCTCATTTTTTTTTACCTTCCTTTAGGCTGGGCAAATGACTCAAGCAGGGATGTTGGAACATCTCAAACTAGAGAATGTGGCCCTGTCTCAGCAGCTGACTGAAACCCAGCACAGGTCCATTAAAGAAAAGGAACGTATTGCAGCACAACTACAAAATATTGAGGTATGGTTGTAGAGGGTTTTCGTGACTTGTGTTCTGTCTAGGTTGTGGATTTATGTTTTGCAAAATCAAGATTATTCTGGCAAAGTAATATAGAATACAAATATAATATTTCAGAGCAAATAAATATGCGTGGCATTATGAACAATTAGAGGGAACAAGACCATATATGCATTTTCAGTTCTGGTATTTGTTTTTAATTGAACTTTGAAGGCAAATGTAAATGTTGTCCTTTGCCCATCTGTGAACTTGTTCAAGAGGAAACTTAATTGGTAGTTAGTCTAAATCAGTAATGTGCTTTTTAAGTGTGTGAAATTGCTCAGTAATCAGGTTTGTCCTTCCTTCCCTCCAGTAAGAAAAGTTGGGTAAAATCTGAAGTGTAGTACAGTGACCTCTAAAGCTCTTAGAACCTTAAAATCCCCTGATTTTCAGTGACATTCCTGCTTCTGAGTCTCAAAGGAGAGTAAAGCAGCAGGTTAGTGGAAGCACCCATCTGCAGTGTTACTGATAGCTTGTATAAATGACAGGACTGTTTCCTGAGTAGCTACAGCATCCAAGGAGTCCCTTTTGGTTTAGAATTTTCCCAAACAGCTTAATTTTAATAAAGATTCTTGATATCCTGCTCATCAACTGAGAAAGGACAAGGTATTATTTAATAGGAATTCAGATTGTCACAAGTATGCAAGACATTCACTCTTATTCTAAGGTGTTTTAAGTATAGGAATGAGTAATTTCAGTAAAGGCATACAGGTGTGTAAGGCACAATCATCAGAATTATTTTTGTGTTTTTCCTCTACAAATTTTCTTGATAATTTACTTTTCTCTTTTCCTAGTTTTTTTCCCACTCCTTCCCCTACATTGACACTGTGGAAGTTGATTCCATGCTTTTTCTATGCAGGCTGACATGTTAGATCAAGAAGCTGCCTTCATGCAGATCCAGGAGGCTAAAACCATGGTGGAAGAAGACTTGCAGAGAAAACTAGAGGAGTTTGAGGATGAGAAAGAACAGCTTCAGAAAATGGCTGATTCTGCAGCAACATTGGAGCAAGAATTGGAACAGGTAGACTGTTCTTAATCAGCTTCCCAGGAATTCCAAGGGAAATAGTGATTTGGCAGAAAAAGCAATAGTGAATAGATACTGACCTCTAAATTTCTTTTTGAAACCTGAAAGATTGCTGCAAAAATGAAGTGCATACTAAAGTTATTCTGTTCCAGGTGAAAAGGCCTTTTTTCCAACTGTGTCAGTAATATTTTTTTAAAATTTCATAACTACTGTCTTGCCAGATTCTGGGGTTTTTTTTTTGTGAATTGAATGTGTGATTATTGTAAGCATAGACAAAAATCATGGATCCATGTTCCATGTTGTTAGGCAGTCAGGATATCATTATATACATTTACACTTAGAGAGCCCTGCTTTAACCTTGTAACCTTATGCAGGCAGCGTGTCAAGGGCTGCAGTGACATGAAGTGTGTGATAGCTATATTCCATGTAATGATACAGTATTATTAACTATGCTGAATTTACCTGAATTTGCTGTGGACACATTTTTGAAGTAAAACTTTTGAATACAATTAATATTATGAATATTTTACATTTGTCATTCCGGTCATTGCTTAGCCTGTAAGATAACAGATACTGCTCAAGGCAGTCAGTACAATTAACAGAGCAAATACAAGTGGCCTAGGAAAGTCAAAAACATTTCCACCTTCTGCTATTTTCTCCTACAGGCTGAAATAATAATTATAATACTTGATTTTGATTAGAGTGCTTTTGCAAAGATAACCTTTGTTTTTTATTAATTTCATTTTAAAATATTTCCTGTCAGGTCAAGTTGACTTTGCATCAGCGAGATCTGCAGCTTGAATCCTTGCAGCAAGAGCACCTCGACCTGATGAAGCAGTTGACTCTAACCCAGGAGACACTGCACACCAAAGAGCAGTCCCTGGATGACCTGCAAACACAGTATGATGAACTGAAGGCCAGGCTAGAAGAGCTCCAGAGTGATGCTGCTTCTAAAGATGACACGATCCAGTATTTGCAGAACGAGAAGATTGTGTTGGAGGTGGCTCTGCAGGCAGCAAAAGCAAGTAAAGAGCAACTTGATGAAGGGGCAACACGCCTTGGAGAAGATACAGAAGTAACATCACAAATCTTGGAGCAGCTGAAGCAAGAAATGGCAGTCAAGTCAAGCCAGGTAATGATCTTTCTGAAATCTTACTAGTTTTAAAACACAGTAATTTGGAGTACAGGTCACAGTTTGGGTGGTAATTTTGTAGTGTGCTCTTTTTCTGTGGCACTGTGGGCCAAACATCTTTCTTATGCAGTAATTTGGTTTCCAGTGTGGTGACCTGGTGAGTGTATTTCTGTATAAAATGTTGTGTTATCTAACCACTGAGATGCTTAGTCAGAAACAGGATCCTTGTTAGATTAGGTAATGGTTACAAATCAGACAGATAAGCTCACCGAAGAAATCAGGTGTAATATGACATTTGGCACATAAAGCAATGTTTGCTTTTTCCCCCAAGGTGGAAAATCTGCAACAAGAAAATGCCAGCCTCAAAAAACAGCTTCAAAAAGTGAAGGAACAGTTCCTGAAGGAGAAGGTAAGTAAAACCAAAGAAATTTCAGACACATAAACCCAAGGAATACACTCTTTTTTTTTTTTTTTTTTTTTACAGTGAAGGCATGTACTTCTGGGGAGGTTTTGAGGATATATATTATTTGTATCGCAGAACTTTGTGACATTAAAATACAGAAAATGTGTAACTTTCAGTTGAATTTCTATCTGTAATTAATGTGAGAGGTGATCCACCAACAAATGTATGCTTTGATAGAGCTTTGGCCTTTGCCAAGTGATCCACCATAGAAAATCTCTCTTTGAATTGTTGATTAGGTTTGCTTTTGCAAAAGTACTCATGTAAATCTTCAGGTGTTGTCATTTCCTTTCAGCTTTGAAAAATATTAGTTGCTTCAGTAATTAGATGGTAAATAAGTGCCTTACTGCAAATTCTATTCTGAATTTACACAGTTTTGAAACAGTAATTTGAAATTAATATGTCATTAGTGTTGCACATATATGTGTCTTATTTATAAGGTAGCACCATTAATTTGCTGCTTGATTATTACCTAATGTGAAAGTTAGTTTTATGTTGTTATGTTTAAATTTGGGAAGGCTTTTTAAACTGTCAGTCATAGTTAAGCCCTCTTCTCATGGCAAAAGTTACTAATTATGTGCATAGGATGGTTTATTTTTTACAATTAGTTTGGTTTTTAAAAGTGGCACATAATGCAGTTTCCATAAAGAATGTGAAGAAGAGTAGCCCTTACTGCAGAGAACACTGAGGTGTTTCATTTAATGAACTGCTAATAGGAACTGTTATTTGATATCCGAGCTTGCACAAAAGCCTTTGAACCACAGTAAATATCTTACAGAAGCTGGTGCTGGTTTGTATGACACCCCCACCTCCCCAAACTAAAAGAATATCAGTAAATACTTTCTAGTAAATTAGTCCAAAATTAGCAAAGCTGAAACTGAGGTGACATTGTCCTCTTGAAACTCTTGTGTGCCAGGTCATGGTGGAAGCGTATCGAAGAGATGCGAGCTCCAAGGACCAGCTCATCAGCGAGCTGAAAGCTACAAAGAAGCGCCTGGACTCGGAGCTAAAAGAGATAAAACGAGAGCTGCTGAAAATCCAAGTTGAGAAACAGTCACTCGAATCTGAGCATTCAAAACTACAGAAAGAAGTATCTCAAGTTCACCAGCAGATGGTGGAACTAGAAAATCACCTCCAGTCAGTGCAGAAAGAACGAGATGATATGGAAACACGCCTACAGGTATGGAAGGTGTAAGGCTTTGGAGAGTGTTACATCCAGGATACACTGCTGTTTCTGTTAACTTCGTAAAGAAACAGAATGACCACCTCCAAATTAATGTTCTTGGTAATATATTTTAAATAGTCTAGACATTTCAACGTATACCTACCAAAATTCTGTAAATGCATGACTGCTTACTAATATCTCGTGTAAGTAAGTGGGGAGAAGCACTGCAGGAGTGGTAGAAGACTGATGTGGAAGCAGTTTCCTTGGTCCTACAGTGAACTCCATCTGAGAACAAGATCCAAACACTCTTCATGTGTGTTAACAGTGGTGGCCTCAAAGGAAAGAGTTAGAGAAAATAAAAGGGAAAGAGGATATGGAGGACTGGAGAGCAGTTTATATTTAGAGATGGAAGTAATTTTGAAATTTCATTATTTTTCTTTTATAATCAAACCTATACAGCAAACATGCTTTTGTTCTTACACTCATGGGTCTTCTTTTCCTTCCTGTTAAGTCTTTGCAGTTCGATAAGGAGCAAATGGAATCTCTTGCTGAGGCAAATCAGGCATTAAAACAACAAGTAGAACAAATGCAAGAAGAAGCAAAAAAGTAAGTGTTCTTCTAGCACAGACAAAAGAACTACAGCATTTGGTTTTCATATTTGGCTTTCAGATGTTGGGTTTTGTTGGGTCATGTGAAAAATTAATCTTGTAGTAGTATCTGTCAAGCAGCTTTTGTTTTTACCTGGTGTTTTCTTTTCCTTTCACGCCAGGGCCATTACAGAGCAGAAACAGAAAATGAAGCGTCTCGGATCAGACCTGACAAGCGCTCAGAAAGAGATGAAAGCAAAACACAAAGCCTATGAGAATGCAGTCAGCATTCTCAGTCGGAGGCTGCAGGAATCTCTTACTGCAAAGGAATCTGCTGAGGCAGAGCTGAGCAAACTAAAAGCACAAATTACTGATGGTGGGAATGACCAGATTGCTCAGGTATGCAGGTGTCCTTTGACATTGTACAAAGAGCTATAAGTCTTGAAATACTATTTCACCCTGAAGTGATGAAAATATTTGAAAAATAAAGCTAGATAAGAACATGCTGTCAGGGTTCTGAGCACTGAGAATTTCCTTAACTAAATTCGAGAGAAGTGATTTGGGAAGCTGGATTTATTGATTAAAATTTTATTGTTGGCTGGGTTTTTTGGTGGAATTGTTTTATCTTTTGTTTTTAAGGATTAGTTTCTCAAGGTTTACCAAGATTGTAGCTCTTACTGCTTTTTTCTCATTGACAGCTAAAAGTTTTTCAAGGTAGCCATAGCTTATTTATATATGTTAGGCCTGTAATAAGAAAATTAATTTACTAAGGCAAGCTCCAATTTCTTGAACCAATGGAGCAAGATATCAAATACACCAACAGCAGTAGCTGGATGCAAAGGTGGAAAACTCAGAGCAAGACCTTTAAATTAAACACTAGCACCTTGTTTCATATTTGCTAGAGAAGCAGGCTTTTTAACCACAGCAGAAGTGACTCATGAAGATGGGTGATGCACTAACCACGTGTGACCCCTTTGTCTTTAGGAGAAGATTCAAGCTCTGAAGACAGAACTGCGAGCTGTGAGCAGCAGTAAATTGATGCTGGAAAAAGAGTTGCAAGAAGTGATTTCGCTGACCAGCCAGGAGCTTGAAGAATACAGAGAGAAAGTGCTGGAACTTGAGGATGAGGTGACTGCTTGAATTTACTTGGTAGATGGGCATACAGCAGTAAAAAGTGCCTGAAAGACAGGGAAAAATTTTAGTACCAAAATTTTATTCCAATGGTGGAGAAAATCAGAATCATGGATAGGAAGCATCATGTCAGTGGTACTTGGAAATTTTGTTGCCTTGTGCTGGTTCTTTGTAGTTTCATGAGTCATTGTCATACAGGGAAAGAGGATGAGAGAGAAGAGTGGTTGCTGTATTAGATACCAGATGTGTGTGGTCATGAGACAGTGAGGATACATGAACCATTAGCTTTTGGAACTACTGGGAGTCAAGGATCCCCAGTGATGCTGAGGGCCAGGTGATGGTGTTCAGTTGTGGAGTAGCACAAAAAAAAAAAATGTATATCAACTGCTCTGGATCTGCACCTGAACAGTATTCCTGGATTCTTCTTTCTAGCAAGCATTTTAGTCTTCCAACAGGAAAAAATACCAAAGTGAACTTATTTTTTAATGTTCACCTAAAAAAGAAAAAAATAAAAAAGAAATCCCACTCTGGAAAAACAAGACATTTGCTGAGTTTAGCTTACAATTTTTTATGATAGTAGCACGAAATTTTTGGTTATCTTTGTTTGATTTGTGTTTTTCTTTGACTTACAGCTTCAGGAGTCTAGAGGCTTCAGGAAGAAGATAAAACGTTTAGAAGAAATGAATAAGAAGTTGGCCCTTGAACTGGAACATGAACGTGGAAAACTTACAGGTCTCAGCCAGTCCAATGCTGCTTTGCGGGAACACAATAATATCCTCGAAACAGCATTAGCAAAAAGAGAGGCAGACTTGGTACAACTGAATCTACAGGTATTTGACTTTTTGATGCAATAACTTCAGAAGGGAATTGGCTCATATGATACAAAGCTGGTGCATTTTCTTCAGCTCTGGGTCCCCCATGTGTTGTGTAACTGCGTCAGTATGGGGATTGAACAAGAGATCAGAAATGGGACTTGGCACTGAACAGAGTTTTCTTTAGAAAAAAAATTAATAAAATTGCACTACAATATTTGCAATAGTGAAAGTGTAGGTAGTTGGAACATACCAAATCCGTATGTTACATGTGTTACATATGAATTCATTGAGATAAATAATTATTATTCCAATAGTAATACATTCGTGTGGACATAGGCTACCATTTAACCATAGCTACTTGTCAGGCTGAAGGTACTGTGTGGAAAGGGTGGTCAGTGAACAGCAGAGAGTTGTTCTGCAATCCCTGCATTGGCTTGTTGTTTATATTTCCTCTATTTCCAGTGAGCCCACACAAAACGTGCATTTGCTTTTGTGATGTGTTACAGGTTCAGGCGGTCCTAAAGCGGAAAGAGGAAGAGGATCAGCAAATGCAACAACTTATTCAAGCTTTACAGGCTTCCCTAGAGAAGGAAAAGTTAAAAGTTAAAGACCTTCAGAAGCAGGTAATGGCTCATCTTTTATTTACTTACAAAGTGATTTAAAGGTATTAAAAAAGTATCTTGAAATGAAATCTCTTTTGTAACATACCGCTTCCTGCAGGGGGTCTGTCAGGATAGCCAGTGGCTGAAAGATCAGTTGATGTCTTCTCTGTTGTGTCCTGTGTTAATCTCCCTTTATGATTCACCTGCAGAGAAAAAATAAAGCAAAACTGCATCTTTTTGTCCTGTTAGGAAGCAGCAGCCAAAGCGGATGCAGCCCATAACCGGCGACACCACCGGGCAGCGATGCTGGAGCTCAGTGAGATCAAGAAGGAGCTCCACACCAAGGAGCTGCTGGTCCAGGCCCTGCAGGCTGAGGTGGACAAGCTGCAGTAAGTCTCAAATGTCTCAAAAAGAACAGTAATTAAAACAAATCCTCTGAAAAAGCCATACATCAGTGAATTTTCGGGAGAATTAGTGAATTTTGCCCCTTTGGGATGGAGTATGTTGAATGTTCCTCAGCAGAACCTGGCCATGGATGCTTGTTTGGACTCTCAGCAAATACCTGCATTTTTCTCTCTTTGTAATTCAGTTAGACCTGAGGTACACTGTTTTTAGGCTTCACTATCTGCTTTTTCTTTCACTTTGACCACACACTTCTACTATTTCACATTGCTAGTAAGGATTAACACTTGACATATACTGTGATTCTTCTCTTTTACATCCCTGAGAACTACTCATAGAGAATTAATTTGATTATTGACTGTGTTCCACAATGTATTAAAATTGTTTGCTTATATATAAAATTTTAAATTAAATTAAAAGAAATCATCAGACCTACATGAAAATGGATATAATCTTAACCCCATTGCTCCAAAAACAAAGCAAAATTGCAGACAGGGTTTTTGGTTGTTTTTTCTTTTTTCCTGCATAATCTGTTGTTTGTAATTGGACTATTACCGGTGCTAAAGAATTTCATAGATTTTTTTTTCAATATTTATTATTTATACATATCTTTCATAAAACCTTCTTGTGATTTAACTCTTGTTCTATGAATGTGCTGGCAAAGCCCTCAGTCAAAGCTGTGATTAACCAGTGTTCTATGAATGTGCTGGCAAAGCCCTCAGTCAAAGCTGTGATTAACAGCTTTGTTCTGTGTTCCATGCACAGTTGTGTCATTTATAGTTAACTGGCTAACCCAGTGAAGTTCTTGTTTTAAAGACCAGATTGAGTAACTGCTGTGTCTGTTAATCTTGTTGTTCAGGATAGAGAATGAAAAACATTCCCAGGAGGTATCTCAGTTCCAGCAAGAGCTGGCAGAAGCCAGATCTCAGCTTCAAGTTCTGCAGAAAAACCTGGACGACAAACTTAGTGAACAGCCTCTAGTAAGCCAAGAGGTAAAAAGTGAACACTTACTGTGTTTATCTGTATTTCTATTGCATTGTATGACTTTATCTTCTTAAGAAGGTTTTTTCATGAGACATAAGAATGTATTTCGGATTTTGTGGTTGATTGCACCTATAGATAATTCCAATTATATTTTTCCCCCCGGTAGGTGGAAGACCTGAAGTGGGAAGTAGAACGAAAAGAAAGAGAAATTGAAACACTTAAGCAGCAGCTGGACATGACTGAACAGCGCAGCCACAAAGAGTTAGAAGGGATACAAGTTGTCTTGCAGGTATTTAATCAAGCCAATTCTGATGGATGGAAATTTTGATTGCTGTAGGGGGACAATTAAAACTATATTTTTATTTTTTAAAAGCATACTTACACTTTTTTCTGAATTTTTATTTTGACTGTGCTGTTACCTTTGTAGTTCTTCAACCTCTATGCCATTAAAATAGGCTACTGACTTTATTTTGACCTAACCTCTGGTTTTCTCTGGAAACTGAAAAGATTATAAAAACATTAGTTGGCTGGAATTTTTGTGCTGTTTCTGTACATCACATTGATTCTCTTCCCATTTAGAACATCAAGACTGAGTTAGAGATGGTGAGGGAAGACCTGTCAGCAACTCAGAAGGATAAGTTTATGCTGCAAGCTAAAGTGACTGAACTGAAGAACAGCATGAAGTCACTGCTGCAGCAAAACCAGCAGCTGAAGTTGGACCTGAAGCATGGCAAGATGAAGAAGGTATTTAAATAGGAAGAACACTTTTTGTAAAGCACAGGAAAGTTCTCTGTGCTTTACTGTGAAATAACCTAAAATGAATGTGTCTGTGATTATTCCTGCTCCTTAGTGCAGATGTGCACCAGCAGTGTGATGTGAGACTCTTTCTAGGTGGCAAAAATTATACTGATGAAATAAAACTGTGTTTCTAACTCCTTTTTTTCCTTTAACCAGAGGAAAGAACTGAAAGGCGAGAATAACTCTTCCAATCCAGTGACTCCAGTCAAGATTCCTGATTGTCCAGTGCCTGCTGCCTTGCTGGAAGAACTGCTGAAACCAACAGCTGTGAGCAAGGAGCCTCTGAAGAATCTGAACAGCTGTCTCCGGCAGCTAAAGTATGGCCTGTTGTTTTGAACCATACTAAGCAATCTTAAAAATGTTTTCAGGAAACCAGCTGCCACCATGAGGAAAAAAGGATTTGTAGAAATAATTCTTTTTTGGGAGTATATTTAGGACAGTTGAATGTTCTGTCATTGTAAGTGCTTGTTTATATGGTCATTGCCATAGTGAAAGAAGACTTTACAATAAGTTAAATAAAATGTCCATCCTGAATTGTGCACAGCAGAAAAAGTCAAAAACAGCTATTAATATTTTTTAATTAAGGACATTGTATTTGTTTTGCTCTTAAGACAGTTCCTAAGCTTCTTGTAGATTTCTCTCTCTTGTATACAGCTATATCTTAGGTAGTCTTGGAGTAGGTATCAAGAATCAGAAAAGTAATTTTTTGGTCTTGCATTTAGCAGTCAGTTTTCTGCTTGCTAATTTTGGCTTTTTTTGTTCTCAATACTTTCAAAGGCAAGAAATGGACAGCCTTCAGCGCCAGATGGAGGAACACACCATTACAGTACATGAATCAATGTCTTCATGGACTCAGATTGAGGGCAAGTTAATGGACCTTACTTCTACAAGTGCATCAGACCAGCAGGAGACTCCTACTGCAGATGAAAAGAAAGAGAATTGTAGTGTTAGTGACAAGGGAGCTTTGACACTATAACCTCCTTATCAGTTGTCTTTCTTCCTATTGCTTTAAGTATATAAACAAATCTTTATAAAAATTATTTATTTCATTTTTTAAATGGTGTTCAGAGTTGTGCTTTTGCCTGTAGAAGCAAAGAGCACTGATTTGAGAAACTGATGGAATAGTAAATGCAGAATGTGCTATTCTAGGGGTTTGTTTGAAACAATTCTGTCATGTTGGGTACTTCCAAGTGGTGAATCTAGCTCATTTGAGGGTTTAGTAAGAGATTGAGATGAAGATCTAAAATGAGGTCAAGAGGAGCATCTGGTTTCAAGTATGTAATTGTTCAGTCTGGGTGAGTTTGTTAAGGAATTACTGTTAACTATGTAACATCTAGGTTTTCTTGTTTGGTTGCTCTTTTGGTTTTTTTTTTTAATTTGTGGGAGTAGGATATATTTTTTCCCTCATCTTGGATTGTAGCCAAACTACAGAGAAAAATAAGTTCTTCTCATGTTCAGCCATTAGCAGTGGTTGAGAACTGGATATGCTGAGTATTCTCTTGTCCCTCCTATAATCTCTTATTCTTGAAATTCAGATTATAGATATCTGCATTTGAAGGAAAATAAGTTACTGTAAGCCATTTCCAGTTTTGAAGATGACCTCTGACCTACAGCAGAAGAAACAAGACTGTAAAGACAGGCAACACAGAGCAGTTGGTATCTTTGGCAGATTGCCTGGCACATTTGCTGATGTTTTTCTCTTACAGTCACAGGCCAGTAGTGAGCTTTGCTTCACTGCACAAATGCTTTGCACCTTTTTATTTCAAGTTTTGAAGTAGACATCCATTTAAACGTATGTGTGTAAAATATATATATATATATATATATATACATAAGAAAAAAATCATACTTTTCTGACTTTGAATATCTGGTTTAATATGCTTATATACTGTAAGTTAAGGCTACAATGAGGGGTTTTGTTACTGTCATTGTTTTAATGTTATGTTTAAGTTTGCTCTTCTTTGACATACTGTACAAATGGCTTAGGGAAATGAGCCCCTAAAGCCAGAGCTTTTAGAAATGTAATTATTTTTACTTTAAAAGACATAATTATAATGCCTATAAAATTATTATTTTTAATAGCTTTATCTTCTCCCACACACTCCCTCTACTTTTTGCACCCTCTATTCCAAGGTGTCCACCATGAATGGAAGTGTTGGTTCTGTGGCAGTCCCTCTGCAGAGCACCTTGACTAAGTTATTTTTAAAGCAGCTGCAGCTTACTTTAGTTTCCTTCATCTTTGGTCCCGTTGCTCCAGGTGGCTCACAGTGCAGTGACAAGCCAGCCCTCTTCTCACTCTAAAATTCAGTGTTAGGGTATTTGGAAGATCTAGTGCTTACTCATGTACTAGAATGTTTTGGTCCTTAAAACATAAAACAAGTCAATTATATCCACTGTAGTTTGGTGTTCACCAAAAAAAAAAAAAATCTATTAAGTACAAGTGGATTCAAAAGGCTGGAAAAAAAAATTGTAGTTCATGTATTTTTCCAAAGAGGCTGTCACTGGTTTTGGGTTTGGTTGTTGCAGAAGAGGGGGAAGGATATTGCATTGTATTTTTACTGAATGATTTCATGCCTTGCAGCTACTGGATTTTAACTTAGATTTTATTGGGATCAGAGTCAGGTGATGCTGACAGTCAAGGTTTTGCAACTGGTAAGGGAAGAAATGCATTGATGTGGCATTAGATGCCCATCAGATGGATTTACCAAACAATTCAAAATCAAAAGCTTTACAAACTAGCTTAAGACATGTCTGCACACTGCTGCAGTCTGCTTTGTAGAGTAAATGGTACTGATTATCTCGCTGTTGTCATGTTCTTGAAGTTGCCTGTATATTAAGCTCAAAGAAGAAAAAAACCAAACCACAGTATTGTTAAAGGAAAAAAATAAACTGTAATGAATAATATATTCAGTACAAGAAAACTACCAAAAGTCCAGGATTTAAAATACTACTTGTGCAGCGTTACTGTTGCTGTTCACTGTATTAAATACATTGCCTACAGTTCAGAATCCACTATGTTCTAATCTGTTAGTTCAGCAGTGGTTATATGGGTAAAGGTTTTATCTGGTATCAAAGAAGCCAGAATTTTTAGAAACTTTCCTAGTTGTTCTGAATGTCAGCTCTCCTTTTTGTGTCCATTCTGCATCCTGCTGCAGTTTCTCACTAGCTCCTGAAGACATCTGAGCTTGCACAATCAAGTAGCCTTAGATGTGTGTTTCCCTTTCCAGGATGAGGGAGCTGTTGTGGATTATATTCCTGCATTGGCACAACTGCTGCTGGCAGTACCTGGACACTGGGTATTGTCCTGTGATATTCACCGTGTGCTTTTTCTGCAAACACCATGTCATTTACTTAAATGAAGGACAGTGAGACTTTAGAGGGTCTGAATCTGGTGAGGTACTAAGTGAAGTTACAGAAGTCACTGGGAGGTCTTCTAGAAGGAGCATGCAGTGTGTGATAAAGGCAAGGCCTTTGGAGCTCATCAGCTATGTTTTTAATGACCCAGAGAAATAGTTGCTGCTTTATTAAAAAGCCTCACCCTGAGGCTGAGCATGCTCAGTCTACAAAGCTTCAGGTCTCTGCTATCTAGGCAATAAAATAACTTAGCTGTAGGAATGAAAATTGTCTCCCCTCTGCCTGTCACAGCACTGCCAAATAATCAGGAAAATCTGAAGAATAATATCTTAAAATTTTATTTTACTTTTTCAAGCGCTGCAATAGAATGTATTTTCTGTGTTTCTTCAGTGGTTGCTACATACTAAACCAAATCTAGTTAATGAAGGAGAAATGTCACTGCAATGTGAGAATGTTCCCCAGTGCTGAAAGCTGGTAAATGGTGCAGCATTATTTTTTTCACATGCTGTTGAGTTTTTGAGGGCTCTTGAATAACTGCGCATTTAAAAAAATATCACAACAAAGACGCAAACCCTACAATAGAAGAAAATGTTACTGAGTCTCTGGCATTGCTGAATATTGCATAATGCTCCATTCTGTTGTCTTCCAGGTTTCTTGGAAATATTTGTGCACTGTATTGGGATCAGCTGAGCCCCCTATCCACTCGTGCAGTGGGAGGATCTGATCCCATAGTGTTTATTCAGGCAATATCCTCGCAGAAATCTATGGGATTTTCACATGTGTAAAGTAATATCCAGGATGAATGTTCTACTGTTCATATTGTCAAGGATTATATATTCCTCCTTAGGGGACAGAACTGCAGTGGCTACTTTAGTGTTAGCTGTGACAACATCAAAGGTGTGCTGGGGACAGGTGGTATTACCAATATAAATTTACCTTAAAGATGACAAATTCACTCCTGGTGATGCAGAAGCTTGTGATGTACATTTATTAACTTTGCAGGGAAAGTGGGAATAGTTGCATGTGATCAGAGCCTTTTAAGTATTTTCCTGTGAAAGCAATTGCTGTCCAGAGGAATTACTAATGCTCATCAGCTGTCATCCGATCACTGCCTCCTACTAATGAGCACTGCTCGGGTATTGGGCAGCCTCATTTCCAATACAGATGCACAGATCTCTAGGGGAGGGAAAGATGTTCTGGATATTGTAAATGAAATGGTTCTGTTTCATGTATGACATTCAGTAATGTCTGCTTAGGCTGTATTTGTAAAGATAAAAGTTAATAATTCCATGTTCTTGAAGAATGGATAACCCAGGGGCTGGAGGAGTTACACTATGTACAATTAATGTTTATGATCATACAAAGCATGTTGATTATAAAAATTATGTGCATAGGGATTCCTTTAAAAGTTTTGTGCAATAAACTATTTTTGCTAAAGGGCCCCATGTTGTTTCTGCTTCGAAAGAGTTACCATTTTCTCTTTGGTTTTGGACAGTAATTTTTGTGTTGGGATCCTGAATATGCTGTGTATCCACGTTTAAGGAAAAAAAAAATCTTATTTTGAAAGACAGTATTATTGTGTATTGATTTTTCACACATCTAAACTTCATTGTGCTTGTATTTCCGTTATATTTTCTTTTTCTCAAGTTAGCTGAACTCATCAGGGAAGAAACAATTCCTTGGCCTGAATTTGTCAGCCTGTGGAATTTGAGTATACAAAATAGAACAATGCAGAAATGTCATCTTCATTCTAATTTAGCCAATTAAAATGACGAGGAGAGAAATTCCTGTACCTTGCTTGCAACACTAAACAGTGTGAATTAAAGTGATACCATTTTCTTTAAGGACAGCACCTTAAACCACCAAGTGACTGCACATAGTACAGGTGCCTGTAGCCCTAAGGTGGGAATGCTGGTTCATATCTGTGCAGGGAATTGTTTTCTTCTCATGCACTAGAGGCCTCCTGCTCCTGGTTTTCCATCTCTCATGGCTCATACGAGACTGCTGCAGCATTTTAAGGTTAATACCCGGACGGAACCTTTCTTCAGCGGCCCCTGAAGTGCCTGTGCGTTCCCGGTCCCCAGGGCTGCTGCAGTTCAAACCTTGCCCGCCTGTGCCGGCCTTGGGCAGCGCCCTCCCCGCCTGCCCGCCCGGTAGCTGCGGCTGCTGCGCGGAGCTCCGCCGCGTGTTCCGCCGGAGCAGCGGCGCCGCGCTCCCCTCGGCCTCCCCCGGCCCTTCCCCGCCCGGGAGCGGCGGCCGAGCGGAGCCGCGGTCACGGTGAGGCCCAGGGAGGCGGCGGAGCGCCGTCAGCGCCGGGCGGAGCCGCCGCCGCGTCTGTTGGGGGGCGGGCGCGGGGCGGAGGAGGTGGAAGCCGCGAGGCCTTGGAGGTACCGTCCCTGAGGGCGTGCGGGCACAGCCGGCGTGCGGCGGGCGGGCCGGGCATGGAGCGGTGGGTCGGGGCCGCCGGGGGCTGGGATTCGCTGTGGGGAGCCGGCTGGGGCCGATGGCCGTGCTGGGAGCTCCTGGCCGCCTGCGCCGTCATCGGCGCCGTGGGCTGGCTGCTGCGGCTGCGGGACAGGAGGCCGGGCGGCCGCCGGGCGGCGGCCGCCATCTCCTCCCCGACCCCCATCGCGTCCCCGGCTCCCCACTCGGCCCCGGCGCCGCTCGCCGCGGGGAGCCAGCGCTGCAGCGGGAGCCGCCCAGGTGAGAGACTCGGGGGAGGCCGGGGAATGGTGCTGCCCCGCGGGGGGCCGGGAGCGGGGAGCGGGCACCGCCCGGGAAGGCCGCGCGGCCCTGCCCGCCTCCCTGCGCGGCCCCAGCGCCCGCGGGCCCCGCCGCGCCCGGCCCCGCCGCCCCGTTCCCCTTCGCGCTTTGTCACGGCCGGGCCTCGGCGGCAGAGGCGGCTCCGCGGCCCTGCTGCTGCTCCTCCCGCATCCCCTCCCGCGCCCTGCCCGGTCCCGGTCTAGACATAGCTGTGCGTTTCTTCTCCCTGAAAAGTTGTCCCTTTTTCCTTCCCTTTTTTCTTTTCCCGTGGCTTATTTCAAGTGTGTTTAGCAGTTCCCTTTCAGCCACGTAGTTCATAACTGGTGGCTCGTTTGCCCGCAGGCGGTACAGACAAATCACCCCATCGCGGAGCCACGGTTGCTCTAACATATGCAAATCCTATCAGCTGAATGCAGCCAAAGACAGGATGTGACTCTCTATTCCTGCCTCGGAAAAAAAAGAAAACACAGCCAAAAAGAGTGCTTTTCTTATATTATTCTTTTATTGAAAGATTTAATGAGAGTAATAGAGTAAAATAATACTGCCATCCTTAGAGAAGTCAGTCGTTCGTTCTGTCTTGGGTCTAGCCTTTATTTTTTTTCGGAAGCAGATTCTGCTGTTTCATTCTGACCCAGTGAGATAAAGGCAAATACAATTCTTACCCATTCTTCCAGGTTTTGATTGATTTGGCAGAACCCTCGAGCATGTTGTTAAAGCAGTTATTCATATTTGCAAAGGTAACTCGCAAGGCCTTACATACTGAACTAGAAGAGGTATCAACCTCCGTGCTGGCTGTGCTCTGGATCATTTGTAGTTATATAATACATTTCACCGTTCAAATAATCTCATTTTGCACCTGCATGTAAGAAACGGTCGGAGGATTGTCTCAAAACAAGCAGTTGCTGTTTCTCGGGTTTGCAAGTCACACATTTTGTTTTGGACAGATTAAAATAGGTAATGAAATTAAAAACCAATAATGCTTTTTTAAGTTAGCTGAAATCTTATTGTCAGAACACAAATGGATTTTGTGAGAGTTCTGTGTTGTCACCCCAACAATGTTTTCCCTATTTCCACACCGAATGCCCTGTAGAAAACTCTTCATACTAACAGCACATCTTCAACCTGATTCTGCCCTTCTGGTCTGCTTTGCCATCTCATTTGATTCAGTTGTGCCAGAGTTGTAATAGACACACAAAATAAATAACTTTTTTTTTAAACAGACAAAATGTTGAGCACTAAAATTTAGGTACCAGCTTCTGTCAAAACATGAGAAAGCAGAGAAATCACTCCCTCACAGCATTTTTTTGCTTAACCACAAGGCAGGGAGGATTTTTGCGTGTTCCTGTCTACTCTCCACACATGAATTATACATATGTACAGGTCTGCTCTTTGCAGAATGATTGTGCTAGTTCTGAACCCTAAAAATAGGAGCATTTCTCAGCTAATTCTTTAAGGCATTAGGTTGACTGCTCAAAGTGTTTCCATTGAGCTGTTTTTGCAGTGAACTTTCTCACCCCTGAGTTTTCATCTTTCTTGTGATTTTACAGTTACGCAGTCTCAAAAGGCAAATCCTTGTAATAGCAAGTTTGGATATTTTAATTTACCTTAGGGGCACATTCCTTGATTAAAACATACTGGTATCAAATTTTATTTAAGATATAGAGGATTAAGAATTGAAAACAAGTAAGAGGATCGTTCATATCTGTTGTTGTAGTCTTGTGGGCAAGTCAGATAATCGAAGCAGTGAGGTTGCTTGGAGGCTCAGGAGTCACAGGGGAGCTACAATACTTTGGGGAAGTGGCTCAGCAGCATCAGCTGTGGCTGTGCTGCTGTTTGGTGGGGTTTTTTAATTGGAAATACTCTCATTTCCCATTGTTTCAGCGAGGTTCCAGTTAGTACTTGTGAAATGTTCAGAGACTGAGGGTATGTTGTTCTCTAACCACAGACATTCAAAATAAGACATTAATAAAAAAGAGACAGCTCTCAAAGGAAATGTCCCTCCAAGGAAACAACCCTCAAACTCACATGACTGTTGACTTGTAATAATTGAAGGACTATTGAAGTTTGCCATTAAGTACATTTTCACAGTGTTTCCTAATACTAGGAATGTATTTGTTCTAACTCAGATTGCAGTGAAACTTAATGCGGTGCTGTATTGATGGCTGCTGAAAGCTATAAAAACTTACTGTGTGCATTTGGCTTTTTTAAACATATGAAAAGTAGTCTTAAGTTTCACTAGCTGAGGATGAAAGCTAAAATTGAAAATAAAGTATTAAAACAGCCATACACCCTGTCCAAAGCAGTACAAGCCCCATGAAGTGGCTCAGCAGTGGAGGAGGGGGCAGTGCAGGGCAGGAGTGAAGGCACTCTGGGGGAATAGCACAGCTGAATCATTCCTGTCTGGAGCTTCCCTTCCTGAGCAGTGTGCCAGGGGAGTCACAGCCTGCCTGCAGGTACATGGCTGCACTACCTGATGAAATAATGTGAAAGCTTCTTACATTTTTGAGCTGCCCAAATCCTGTATTTTTCAGCTGTGTTTTTCAGAGCAAGGAATTTGTGTTGGCATCAGCTTGGTTTCAGTATGTGCTTGCTGACCAATGTGGAAGCTGTCAGTGTGGATTTCATGGAGGGATGTGAGCCTGGGAATTGTATCATAGCAGAGAGAAGGATGTTCCTTTGGAAGTGGAGAAATTCTCCCAGCTTCTGTTTTTTGTTGGAGATCTGAAAAGATCAGTTGTTTTTGTCTTCTGGCTGTTTGCTCTCAAAACAGGCCTGGGAAACAACATGCTGTGTACATATTTCCAGCCTTGCATCACAGCCAGAGAAAGCCTGCCCTGGTTGCTGCATTGTGCTTGTCCCCTAGACTTCTGTCAGCCAGAAAATCCCAAGGAAATACTGGAAATAGTTCTGTGCCTTTAGCTGGAGGTGCAGCCCCTTGTCTTGGGGCTGACTGGTGCTCGTGTCCTTGTATTGCATTGCACAGATAGATTGTGCCTTCTTTCAGGAATCAAATATTTCTCAGCCTGTCATAAATTTTAATGAGTAAATGCTCTAGATTGAATTGTCACTCTAGAAGAAATTGAAAAAGGACTACCAAGAACAAAATGTAAGCTGTAAATATTCTTTTAAGTAGTCGAGAGAGGAGGAAATAAACTTGCTATGGGTCTGGTAGCTTAAAAACATTGAATTGAAAAATATTTTGTCTTCTCTGCACTGCAAGGATCTCTTCAGAAATCCCAGAAATTGCTAAGAGGCATTTTTTTGCCTTGGCTTTAATACCCCATTTAAGTAGCAGAGGAAAAGTTTTGGTTTTTACAATTTTTCTCTTATTTTTTGCCTTTCCTGTAGGTGGAATAACAATGGATACAATATTATCTCGATTAAAGAAGCTCAGCCACGATGAGCTTAGGGAAGAGATTGTGAGAGCAGGACTGAAATGTGGGCCCATTACTGCAACTACAAGGTTTATTTTTGAAAAAAAATTGGCTCAGGCACTGCTGGAGCAGCAAGGAGCATTGGAGGAGGAAGGGTGTGCTGTGTCAGAGGAGGCTGCTGGAAATGTCCCAGTGAATCACAACGGCCATGGAAGTGCTTCTGAGGAGGTAGACTTTGGGTACTGTGTGGGTCTGAACCCTCCAGAAGAAGATGCTGTGACACACATGAACTGTTCAGCTCC